GCTCGGGCAAATATTTGATTTGCTTGAATGTGTACACCTGCTTTTGTATGAACTTTTTTGTACACATTTTTTTTCTTCACATTGGAGACAATAAGCAGATGACAATGGCCCACTAGACCACATTTACTACCGGTAACTATGGACAGTCAATCAAAATATTGAAGCGCTACAGTCATCATATAGTGGTGTTCAAATTTCATGTAAAAAAAGCACTTAATTCATTTACATGTAATAAACATGACACAGCAAGTTAGCTGTGGTGCTTTAACCATTCGATAAAAAGAAATATTCAATTAAATATGAAAATCCAGTTTCTTCAGACGTTTGTCAAATATCCATTAGAGTATCAGATATGGGGGGGGGGTGATGAGGAATATAATGGAGTCTGATTACTATCAATTTGCAACAAATTCTGGATATCTTGCTGAGTGAAAGCAAAATGACAAAAAGTCCAAATAAAAAAAGGGCAAACCCAAACAATGACATGATTTTTCCAAATTAATACAGCGAGTCTCAGAGTATTGTATTGAGAGCCAACTGTTTAGTCGAAACTCAAGCAGTTAGCCAATACACTACAAACTTTGCAAATTGGCTTCCCCAATACTTCCGAGACATGCTGTAAACATTCTAAACGCCATTTTAAATTGAAATATATTCCAAGTACATACAAAGGAGATTCATAATTCAAAAAAATAATCTCAGTACCCTAAAGCTTTTTCGTCAGATTTTCAAAAAGCCAGGCATGTTGAATAAAAAATTAATAGCAAAGTTTCAAGAAATTCATTCACCACGTCCAATACTAAAATTCCTTTGCACAACCTCACACTGACAATACAAGTACCGATTAAAACTTGTATTTGTTCAAGGACGGACATGGGTAATCTTTACTCTGGCAGTCTTCTAACACTTTTAAACAGCCAGGCACAAGAATTTAATAGGCCAAAAACATGTTAGACATGTTAATCCTTGAAGCAACACTGTCGTCAAAACTACACATTCTATTGTTGTTTTGTTCTCTGGTTGATCTATACATGCACTACACATTAAATGCAGCTCATTCAAGCGCAGCAAACATTGCTCACGTTCAAACTAGAACGACGGTGTCATCACAAAAATAACTTTAACTATGACCAACCACAATACATAATATGTAACAAAACGTTTGAATTTACTAGCCGCTACTATAAGTGAGCCATGCATGTATAATATACGTATGCGTAGTTCTGACGACAATACAAACTTAAAACGATTGTCAGTATGAATCGCTCAGTGTTCCTTTAAGAAGATGCTCACCGACCCAACTCCCTGCATCAGATACTGCAAAGTATGAAAATTATATACATGTATATATATCAAGAATTTAATTTAAAACAAAATTACAATAAGATAACATTCACTTCACTCGTGGGATATTTGACCTGAATTCTTCCATGCTGTGTTTTGATTAGTCATGTTATTTTAGCTGGGAAATGTGATATACAACTGTAATGTTGCTCTTTGTTTTCATTCTTGCAAAACAATATTTGAAATTTACAGAAAGGTGCAAAAAACAATGAAAATAAAAATCCATGCTTTGTTATTACAATATCAGCATGGAACGGTCTTGATAATTTCTGGCCAAAGGTTTGTTTGTTTTTTTAAAGTAAAAAACATACATTTTGTGATGAAAAGTTTGTGATATACATGGCTGGCATAAAAAAAAAAAACTAGGGATTCTTAATGCTGACTGGCTAGAAATGCTACAATGTATCTGGTCAATGGAATGGAGCTGATGGTACAGATGTTGTTTTTGTAATGGTCTTTATAAGTATAAACAACTCCAGTCACAGAAAAATCAAATGTTCCATTTGTAGTAACTGGTGATTCACATTCCATAGTATGACGTTCATATGTGGAGAATCATAATCCATAAAGCTGATTGGCTCCGGGTAAAAAGCATATCAAGTAGATCAGTAATTAAGCGCTGTGATTGGTCGGATTCATTGCACTGTTTAGAAAATACACACTTTCATCAAGAAGATGAGACGATGACCATTGGGAGAAAAGGAGCTTTGTAAGATGCTCCCTGATTGGTTGATTCATTCAGATCCCTGGATTCAGCGGAGTCAATAATTGGTTGAATAAATGTAAACACTGTAAACTATTAGCTGTAATGACACAAAGTAAGAACGATAACACCTTTATGTCTTCTATATTTACACGCACATTGAGAAATAAATTATCTTTCAAAAAAAAAGTGTCAGAACTTGCTGCTACTCAGCGTGTTTGATTGTTGAGAACTTAAATTAAAAAAAAAAAGAAATTTAGCTCCATTTCAGTTATTTTTTTTCTTTTAAATCAATGACAGTAAACTAACACGGGACCACTCATTATTAGAAAAAAATCAAGACCATTTATATTACGTGATACAAAATATGACCTTTAGAGTTCGGTATTTATTTAATAGTTATTATCATTATTTATATAAAAAAAATGTCTCTCAACTACATAACCTATACTATGTGTACCCTATAGTCATATGGTACAGTACTGTCAAAGGGATGCATATCAACACAGAGAGATGGTTGCTATGGATACTGATGGATGTTGAAGATGAGGAAGCATAGGTATTGTTTGCTACTTCAAACGTACAAGTCTGTCTTTGTTCTGACAGTGTATCATTGGACGTTGAACACCTGAAACAGGTCGGCTGAGTTCCGTAAATGGGGTTAAACTTGAGGTCTCTATAATCTGGTGAAAGAAGAAGAAAAACAACATTAAGTATTTTCTGGTGATAAGTTGGATGATGTTATAAACAAAGAAAATTGATTTCTTTTTTTCATGACTACTGCCCTGATATTTATATAAAAGAAAAAACTTTTTAAATTTTAAATACGAAGCCCCCACTTTTGGATCATTTATATTTTGTGTTCAAGTTTGGTTAAGCGCCCAACCCAAGATGCTCCACATTTTGCCTGTTAACAACCATGGTAAATACTTCGTTCCATATTCAGTTTACCTTTCAAATTTTTTTTTTTTAAATCAGGCCATTTTGTGAAAAATTTATTTCAAACATATTGTACTTCAACATCAATAATTTACTTTTGTATTGCATTATCAAAATTTCTCAGAGAATTCGTGGAGAACTATTCTGATTGATTACAGTAGGCGCGAGATATTTACATACACCTAACTGCCGCACCTGGTAGGCAATTACCGAGGGACATCGCTACAATTGTAGGGAAGGTATATCGTCTTAATGAACGCAATGATTGCTTACCTGGACAGAAAAACACAGGCAATCCTGTATATGTGAAATTAGGGAGTAAATAAGGACATTGGGCTGCAACTTTGTGACAAATATCTAAGCAAGGCAATACTTTTTCACCATTTTCATAAAAACCTAATTCCATTGCGCACATCCAGTCTTTGTATGCAACCTGCAATGTAAAAGAAAATTTGATATTCTATAAATATATTTCATATAAATATAAAATGGAATTAAAACAGAATTCGGTACAGTAATTGGTGAAAATGGAAGGAGGGGCCACCATATGAGTGAACTCTTTCCAATGATGGGAAATAACAAACTCACGAGAGAAGAATAGTAAATTCACTGTGTGTTTGGATAAAATCAACTCATTTTATTCTTTTCCTATTTTTGTCTTGTTTCTTAAAGCATAAGTGTGTACACAACAAAATTCTGACTTGTTCTGACAAATCAACATCGATAGTATAGCACATGGAAATAAACAATAATTACACTATGCAGTGCCTTCATGTGGTGGGATTCAGCTAATCCTTTGTTTAAAATAACAGCTGCACCATTTTGGTACCATAAAAAACAATTACAAATTTGCATAATCCAATCCACTGTATCAGTATATGGTGACCTTAGCACTGCTACACTATTAGATATCAGACCACTCATTAATTGATTCGATTTGAATGCTTGATGTTCTGTTGAAAATTTTGTTTTTTTCCATATATATGGTAGCCACATAAGCTTGCTTCACAACTCAAGTGTTGATATGCTAGTTCATGTACAACATAATGGGTTTTTTTAATGAAATAGTTATAATTTATATCATCTGTGTGTATGCATTCCTGACAATGTAGCTACATGTATGAGCAACAAAAGCCAGGATTTCAGTCTCATAATATCATAAAACAATCAAGCTTAGAACTAGTTTGATAACAAAGATACCACATTCCTGTATCATATGGCAATGGCTGTTTTATGTGTGAAACACCTCATCAACTCAAACCAACATCATTATGCGAAGCATAGCTTGTATAGCTATTAACAGTTTCAAGTTTAAATTCAAGTGTAAGATTCAAGATGCTATTAACAATCTTTCACTCAGCCTCACCTGTTATAAACATTCCGTAATAGTTTATCAATCTTAAGTGCAATAATTCTTATTTCTTATTATGTTTACTATGAAAAATTCCATCTCAAATTTGAAGTAATTTTTGTGTAATTTTTTTTCTCAAACATCAACAACAATGTGTTTCACCGAGATGAACGGAATTATATTCCCCTTATATCAACACTCATAGGTTTGTTTGTTTGTTATTTCTCTGCTCAGTCAAACAGTATACTAATGAAATGACTCTGGTATGATTGAAATGTGTAGAAAATTAAGAAAGGTGGGGGGGGGTGTTAATAGTAGTTAACGTGCCCGGTAATTAAAAAAGACCACATAAATCTGCATCCAGACATAGTTCTTATAAATGGCAGGCAGAAAAATGATGGTCGCTGGATAATGTACACACTGATGCAGACCGCAGATATAATATTTTGGTTGACTGCATATTTATGTTTTTTGTGTGCGTGTGTACTTTTTTTCATTTATTTACTAATCTATCTATGCTACAAGCATGTTGTTAATTAAATTGAATTCTTAACCATACAAAAAAAAATTGTCAGGGAATAAACATGGTTACAATTATAGGGTGAAGATGATTATAGGTCAAAGGTCATATACAGTACAAACTGCAATGTGTATCCCTCGGAAACGTTTTAGAACCAAAGTTAGTTGTGACTTATCGAATGATCATGTTTAAGAAATAAAAAGCCACAGGTTTCTTACATAAAAATTTTAAATGCAAGACTGAGAAAGTAAGGTGACCTCCCTAGATCAACAATACACAATCATCAAAAAAATTAATCGCTACAGCTATTACAAAGTCCACCAAATAGACTGGAGTACGTGTCTTGGTGAAGTGTACCCATGAAACACTTTATAAATTTAACTACTTCCCACAGTAGACTTGAATCAAACTTATTAAAATTGAAAGTCTGCACAAGCGGCCATCAAAGTGGATTAAGAGATACTTTAGTAGAGTGCACCCTCTAGTGACCCAAAATGGAAATGTTCTATACTTGTATAATAAATACACAACTGACCGTGGTTAGGATAGCACTAAATTGATTTTCTCACACACAGTACATTTTACAAAATGGCACAATATTTATAATGTACGCAAAGTTGGCACAGTATACAATATAGTGCTTACATCTGTCTTTACACCCCCTAAAGGTTTACATAATAATTCAAAACTTGGTGCGAGATATTCGGCGATAAAATTCAAATACTGCAGTTTATAACCCCATTACGCCTGCTTTTCTCACGTATCTTTACGCCAGATTTAATAGGCACAACAAACATATGTGAATTCTTTAATGAAAAAGCTATCAGATTACATTTCTAGTTCACACCAACATCATTTTTGAAACAGACACATGTACAAGCACTGATATATTTGATAATCAACAAGAATGTCCTCGGGCGACAATTCCATTGAAATTGAATATGAGCTTGGAGTTGCTAGTTTGGTGATAACTGTTTAATTTTTTGTTTGGAAAATAGAATCATTATATGCTGCTGCTGTTTACATGTTATAGAACATCTTCAGAGCCTCGGAAAAGGGTTTTAAAGAACTCTCATTATTTTGGGGGGAAATAGTAGTGTTCACGCTACACGCTATCTCATATGTTTGCATTTCGGCTAGACCCAGTTGCGTCCACGTACTGGGAGGGCAAGTTCATAACACGGGCTAAGGGGCGCCATCAGTCGGTGATCTTTGTTAACCGTTGTCTACAAATGCAAAATTTCTGCTGCTGACACGTTTCGTTCTAATTTTGAAGCGACATGCACAGGAACGTGAGAGGAGACAGACCCAATATATATGGATGAACAGAAACAGTATACAACGGCGTAAAAGAATGCAAAGTTTTATTAATGCATGTTGTAGACAGCGAAGCAAATTTATTTTGTCTACAATTGGCGCTGCTTTATGCTCTACTACATCGATCCGATCAGTGTGGAGGCGTGTGCGGAGTAATGACTGGTGGAATAGACGACTTTCCTGAAGGTTGAAGATACGGTGTTTCATATGCGCGCGCATGTCGTTTTGGGGTGTAACGTAAATTTGCACTCGTGATATTGTGCTTCTGAGTGTACCAATCAACGTCACAAAAATAAAATTCCCTTCTATGGGAGTATTTTTGCACTCCAGTCTTGCTACCGGGAAAGTCGTCTATAGAGTTGTTATACAAAATGATGATAAAAATTCTCTACTCTACCGACAACAAAGAAATCACTAATTACGCAAAATTCATTTTTAACTGCTTTAACTGCAGAGATATTGGCATGAAAAAACCATGAGCTGCCCCAAAAATTATCATTTAACTTTGCATTTCTGGTGTTGTTTTATTTTTGTTCTGTTTTACTTATTGATTTAATTGTTTATTTTAGTTTGTTACTTTTTCAGCTAGCTGTTGTTTATTTAAACAACATTCTTTATTGTATTATTTTCAAGATCCCAATAAGGATACGAAATCAATAAAGTTATTTATTTACTTACTTTACTTACTTTACTTACTTTACTTACTTTACTTACTTTACTTACGAACGAACGAACGAGCGAACATGGGACAAAGCAACATTCCTCCTAAACCTTCAGATTTGTTTAACTAATCAAATTTTTGTTAGATTTTAATATTTTTTTTTCTTCTAATCACGAGTCTCCTAGATTGTGTCTTTGTTACGTCTGAGCTCTGTTACCATTTGGAAATGAGAAAGTTGCATATATTTGATCACGCGCATAACATTCACACCCAAAGGTCGTCACAGAGGGTGCTTAGCCCTAGGCTAAGCGTTCGCGCACACTTTGTTAGCCTTTGTTAACCGTGTCTTAAAATCGGATCAGATTTTACTCGTACTTAGCATTCCTCAGCCCTGTGCTAAGCGTTCACGCACGTTTTCTTAGCACGGGCTAAGGAATTTGACCTCTTAGCCTGTGCTAAGATGCTGTGCATGAACGCAACTACTGTCTACAAATACGTTTGTGTGTTTAGGTCAAATATATATAAGATAAACTGAAAGATAAGAAAAGTATAGGGAGTTAATACAAGATTGCGTCATAGACCTTGGAAAGATCTACAAGTATAATTGCAGGGGCGCATCACTGATAGTGACCATATATATGTAACAGCAGATGCCTTCCATTGCTGATTTGTTATTAAGGCTTAGTACAATGATGTTCCAATGAATAGCAACTACCCGATCAATTTAACGGCCGCAGTTATGGATGATGAGATACAACGTAATATACCAGCGACTCATGAAATTAACCCACTTAACTACGTACACCCATGTCAGCTGCTTTATTACAAAGCCGAGTTGCCAATAACTACAGTGAGATCATTATTAGGTACGTCACTAGCTCACGCAACTAATGCAACGACAAAAAACATATAATTAGTATTCTGCGATAACCGCTTCCACTTCATTAAGCACAGTCTCTGTGTTCATGAAAAACAATTCCCGGTATAAATAAATCACCATTCGCGAGTGCCGATTAATGAGGGTCAACAAGATATTAAAGAGAATTTCATGAAGTTGAAAAGAAAAAAAAATATATATATATATATATACACACAATCAAGTACCAGTAAGTATGTTTTATCGCTAGGCAACAGTAGAGCACACCAATAACACTTGTCTGGGGCTTCCCTCTCACTATAATTCTTCACAGATACCAAATGAGGGATCACAGATCAATCGTGTGATTCGTGCCTGTGATGTTTATCATTTAATATAAATAATATATTATATGGGAATCACTGCGTAATTTGGGCAAATATTTGTGTGTACATACTTAATGCACCCCCTGCATAATACTTTACATCCACAAATTTATTAAACCTGCAAAATGTGTGCACCTACAAATATTTTAAAGTGATTGCCCCTCTGCTACGATTTTGAAAAACACTTTGACCAAAAAACAAGCAGCCTATCGGCTGAGATAGCTCCGCTGTTAGCAATGCACATTTCAATTAAAGAACTGAAGACATCATTAGAAAATGAACAATATGAATATTATCAAAGCAATCGGACTTACAGTTTTTAACAAGAAGTCGAAAATATCA